GAGTGTCCTATTGGCCCAAGCGATGGCCCGGCCGATAGCATGAATGGATTCGACTCATACATTCACTGTATCTTGATGTCTCTTGTTTTGGTGTTAGCATCGACAAGGAAGTCAAAACATTGTCAAAACCCGGGGCCTTAATCAATGCTTACTTTGAATATGTCAGACTCGACGTTTGCTGGCGGACTTGCTGGTTTGTGGAAAAGGTTGTTCTGTGGCAGACTCGCTGACGTTTGCTGGTTGATGCAAAACGATGTGGCGGCACAAGTGTCGTGTCTACCTGTCCTACCTGACATCGTGACCCGCTTCTACCGAGGCACAGTGGTGTGTTGTATATTCCTGGAACGTAAACGTCTTCTCGATTCACCTTTGAGCACAAATTGACGCAACCTAGCAAAATCCATGACGCAAGTGGTCTTTGTGTGATTCGAGCGCCTTTATAAATTTCGAGCCTGTTTGCCAAATTCACGTGCACTACCATGGCACAACTGGTCCATTGCGCAATGCAAGCAGAAAGGGAGAGGAACAACTTTGCACCACACAATCACCAATCTTATCCAACCTCAGATTTCAAACGCTGTAGTTGCAGTGTTCATCTTCCGTGCCATGATTCTGATCCAGTTGTAACACAAACGTAGCGCACGGACATTCTATGCAAATCATGGCTTACGTAATGCATGATCGTGCAGAAAATCGGACAAACAGTAATGTAAGCGGTGAAAACGGACGCGATTTCGCGCAAACCGAATGCATTTTTACAACAAACGAAACGCAATTTTGCAAAACTAACGCAATATGAAAAAATGATAAAAAAGAATCAAAAAAGTACCAGTGATATTTAAGGGCCGGTGCTTTCTCGTTGTTTCCGGTTTTTGCAACAATTTTGAGCCTGGGGGGCACAAAGAACATTGCAAAGCAAAATTGAAGGATAAATGTGAGTGCATACAAGTATACAACTGCTGGCATTTCAGGAAAGCGCAAACACAGTTGAAATCGGTGATCACATGTGGCGATGTGTATTCGTGTGCTCGGGCCCCTGTGTATGTGATTGCATGATTTCTTGCACGGACTGACTTTTTTTGAAGAGCGGTGTTTGACGAGTATCATTTGTTTTTTGAATATTGTTCCTTTTTTGAGGATGACTCAGAATCTTGCAATGCAATTCGAGCATTTTTTGGTGACTTTTTTCTGGTGCATTTTTTCTGCACCACTTGAGAGTACAAGTTATTTATATAGTTATTTAACACAGAAAAGTCTTAATTAATATGATGCAAATGTGAGGTCTTCTTGAAACGCGACGCTGTTTGGTTCAAATCTGCGCAAATCTTTGGGCTAATACGGGACGAAATGGTGTTGAAGCGCATCAATCAGGTTGTCCAGGGCGAAAAAATGCAAACTGTGCTGTTTGATCTGCGCCGCTCACTTGAATCCGCATATATTTTGACATGTGCTGATATTGTTCATTGCGTTGTGAATTCAAGCTCGCCTGTTTTGATTGATAAAGCTGGAACAATATGGAATGATATTATATGGCCTTAGTCTGCCGATGGGATAACTGCCTCAGACTTGAATTTGGCGACAGTTTTGCGTCACAACTTGCTTCCCTTCCAAAGAGTGATAGCTTCATGTTTCGCAAATGCCTGCTTCGTCTCCAGCGCCCCGGCCATGAATGTCAGAATATCATGATATAATACAATATATATATATATTATAATATATAATATGTATTTTTATATATATAATTAATTATAATTATATATATACTTATATTATCATTCACTTGCATCAACCTTTTTCAGAACATTTCAGAACTTTGGGGCTTGCTGGGACGTTCTTGACAGTGTGGTTACTGAGATGTGCTTGGCTTGTGTGAAATCGTGCTTGGGCCCCCTCACCCAAGTGTCCGCCGAACAAACGCATTCAGAATGAAAACAATTGAATAGAGAGACGTGGCCACTTGTGCCCGCAGTGACACCCCAGCCCATTCAAATCCCAAGAAGCGTCATGACGCTGCCAGTTGAAGTTAAAATTTCTGAACACCCTTGTGTGCTATGGAACATCTGACGAGCGATGGAGAGCGACGGTGGTGTACATGACAAACGTTACAGTACTTGGATGTCGTGAGTCAATGTCAGTTAATTGCTATTTGACCGGATGTGATTTTGATATTCCGTGGCAGGACGCCTGTTCCCTTGCATTGCCTTTGTCACAGAAGCAGGGCGATGAACAGCCCTGAGACTCTCCTTAGACATGATCCTGCGGTTTGGACTTTTATATATGTCAAGTGGCCGGCAGCCCCAACTTATGCAGCTGCATGGATTTCAAGCTAGAGTTCCAAGCAAAGCGCAAAAGGAGAGCGTACTGTAAACTGGTAGAAAACAAAACAGCGAGAGAGAGAGAGAGAGAGAGAACAAAGAAGAAGTTGGTGCGGACCTAAGACAGGACCAGGATACGTCTCGCATTTTGTCCAGACGGAATAGGCCGCAAATCTATATATATATATAATTCCCTTGTGAGAGCAAGTACCGCCAGATGTGGATTGCTTTGACATGCTTGGACATTGGTTGGTGAAGCTGAAGCTGATAACCACTGTAAAGTAGCCGTAGTGTCACAGCGTCTAAGTCTCAATCGACTTGCAAGTATCAAGGCTGGGTGTCAGTTGAAGTACCCAGTATGGATGAGTATGGAACAAAGACCACCGGATTGGTTCCCGTTTGCTCCACTGTGCTCCACTGTGCTCCACTGTGCTCCTCGTCGTTCACAACTTGCTTTCCTTGCCTTTGTGAGATGGACTCCTTCGCCACTCTGGGCTCTGAAGGAATTGATCCCTTGGTTGGGAGTTGAGTGGTCCATTCTCATTATTTTGACAAGCAACGCAGCAACGCTTTGTTGGCGGAACCCGTTGGATGCTTCTTACGTTTCTCAAAATGTTTTATGCATGTGCTCACTGCAAATACATTGACAGAGAAGCAATAGTACATCAGTGATGAAGGTAGTGGGTAAGTTGCACACGCATCATTTTTCCACCTCTTAGCTTGCACGCGATCACCGAAGGGTCCAAAGCGCTTTGAATTGTCTTGAAAATAAAGCACTCTGGTTTCATCACGATCAAAAACACAGAAGCAAAGCAATCGTTGCAGGACCCATTCTGACTGCATGTAATTTCCGCAGCATCATAATTCTTCTCGACAAGGGCCCGGGACCCTTTCCTAAAAGGTTGGCTGCCTGGCTTGGAACACCCCTCATTGGGAGCGAAGCCTTTTTACACAGGATTGCTGCCGAGGCGGAATCGAGGCGAGTGAGAAATCGAAAGCAGCTCGGCACACAGAATTTTCATGGTCGGGTGTCACACCGACTCACCATGCATGTAGGTAATATGGTAATATCTTGTAATATACTATAATAATTAATACGTATGTTTATACATGTTTATACTGTGTGATACGTGAAATTGTTGATCTCATCATACATTGTCTACTCATATCCAAGCACTCTTGGAATCTTTCAAGGGGACCAAACACACAGAATGCCCACACCGGGCAATGTACTTGCTGTGCTACTTGCCCCGGATGCAGGTGTCTTTGACACCGAACGCGATCTAGTTTTGACTGAGCATCTCGACAAAGCTTCAAGAGTTGAAGTCTGCTGATGTCCGTTCACTTCAGTGCCGTTCAAAGTTCTTTACATTTCGAGCCTCAGAGCTTCGAGATGCTTTGAGGAGTCTAAGCATTGCAAGTGCATGAGCTAAATCAGTGGCAGCGGAATTCCCAAAGAATTCCGCGCCTTTGCTGCGATTGGGAACTCCGGGAACCCCCAAAGCACAAAGCGGCTGACCGGATTTCACCGGATCTTTTTAAAATCCACATCTCAGAGATCTCAGAGCTCAAACGAGAGGAAGAGCGCAGGCCTCCAAACAATTCCAAACATGTCTCTGTTGCTCTGATGTGGTGTGAACTCATGGTGCTTTCTGTCCTCTGGACTTTATGATGCAAAAGAGATGGGAAAAAATTCTGATAAAAGCGTATTTGACATTTAGTACGATATCTATTTTGCATTATATTGCAATAGACAGAAAGTCTGAAAGAGCGAGTCAAACAAATAAGCAAATATGAATAAATGTGTATGAACAATGATAAAAATATTAGATATGCATGCATATGTCGTGATCATGTGCTACGAACATCTACATGCAAAGGGATGCCCAGCAAGACTGGGCTACATCACGTCACAGCGCTGATACACCATCCTACATTGAAAAAGTAGGTACTGGTGAAATGTATGCAGGCCTTCATCCACAAACATACATGCCATGTGAAATTACACATCAATTCAATACATTGGAAGCGTTGGAGGACAGCACTGATAACACATGCAAAGGCAAGCAAATGCTTGCACATGCATTACATCCAACATCATCCATCATCATCCATCATATCCATCATATCCATCATGCAACTAAACACAGAGTCCAGTCTTCAGTGTTGAAGCCATATAAAATCATATAAACATGATTAAACATGGTGATCAGATGTGATCAGGGTGAACATCATGCAACAATGAAATTGCAAAAATGCCGTCTTCTAATTTACTGTACGTAGTACTATAGCAGAAGTATAGTAGTCAAAAGAAGTAGGTGGGTGGGTGGCACTGACCCATATAACCTAGTGCCAATGAGCGAGAAAGGAGTGTATCACACTGGTGCAGATTCGTATTGTGTATGTTGGTGTGTGCCTGGGAACATGAATTCAAGACAAACCTGCATCAAACACATCTTGAAAAGAATCCCGAGGAAAAAATGACTTCAATGACTACAACATGGTCACCTTACAAAAATATTGATTTGACCAAACCATGCCAAATTTATCCAAATCTACTGTATATACGTAAGATGACAAAAGCCCTGTAGACAGCAGCTCACAGCCCTACAAAATCGACAAAGAGTTTGAGTTCTGCATCATCATTGCGAGCCAGGGACGAGATGGGCTGAGATGGGCCGAGCCTCACATGCCAGGACTCGACCCAGAAGAGCAGCCCACGTTCCGCGGCACTGTGTCTTTTGTCGCAGCTGCACGAGTGACTTCCTCGGCGCCGACAAAAAATATAGACATAGACCATCAACGAGCTCAGGATGAAACAGCGGGAAATCGTAGGAAAATGTCGGAAACAAGCATGCGTTGACTTTCTAGCATAAAAATAGTTTGAAGATGTGTGACGAAGAAATTGAGACACTTTCACTGTGTGCACACGGAATGGCTTGAAGATGCTTGAAGATGCTTGAAGATGCTTTGAGGCTTCCTGCTAGTAGCTGATACCCCTCTAAGGCCAAATCCAGCAGCAGAGATGGCATCGAACTCAATTCGTCGAAGGCCGTGGTGTAGGCTACCTGCATCATCATCTGAGTCCACATCAGGTCGAAAGTTATCAAAAGAAGCGCGTGGTTTAAAGAAAAATCATGGAGCTCCTTCGAGCTATATAAAGACTTGTGGAAGGTCATCTCCTGTCAAGACTTCTCATCCAGAGTGAAGAACCCACCCACATCCAGGATGCCGGCTCCTTTAGCCGTCAAGAACCCCCCTCCGCACCTGATCGAAATTCTTGAGGATAAACGCCAGGCAGTAGCGCTTGAGCTCTTGTGCTATGTACTGGTCTGAGTGACCTTTGGTGCCATCAAGCCATCTTGACTGAATCTTTCAGACCATGAAGCTCTGCCAGTGTTGCCGACATGTTGACACCAGAGCAAGAGCCCTGCAGACTTGCTTCTAATGCCTACAATACCCATCAACACCCCACAACTCTGCATGTTTGGTGCACTTACAGAGTACCCTGCAGTGCTTTAGTATTTCATAGATAATATTATCTTATACATTTGATCTCTGCGGATATCATTGAAGACAACATACTGAAAGTGTTCTCCATGCTATTCAGTGCTAGCAAGTTGTTTGAATTTTCTCCCAGAGTGCCCGGCGAAGCAATGCACAAACATTGTCTATTTCCACGCTGTGCATGAGAACCTCAATCCAAAAGAAAAGCTTTTGGTGTTACTTGTTCTCTTCTTTTCATGCCTTCACAACGATCTGAGGTATTCTGATGTGCTTTGCTTACACATGGGTAAACTCTGGTAAACTCAATCAAAAACGTAGACAGTGCCTCTGCAAAGCACTTCAACAAAGACATACAAAGACATCCATGAATCATTTCAGCGGTGAACTGCTTCTCTTTCTTGGTGTCCGCACATTTTCGCAGACGTGCTTCAGGCCTTGCCAAGCAATGCCATCTGCCCATGCTCTCTAAGACTGTACGTACATCACAGGAAGGGCTGCAAAAAGATAGACCCTCAGGTGAAGCACAGGCAAGTATGGCCAGATTATGGCTGGATTATGGCCTGCTGGCGGGCATCTGAAACCTCTGGTGATTGCCTTGCCGATTGCAGTTCTGGCATTGCAAAGGCTCCGGCCATCCAAGGTGTAATGATCGGCGAGGCCCAACACCTGTGCAGCTGGCAGGTCCAATTGGCCGATAGGCGAAGTAAAAGTAAAGCTTCACTGAAAACTTAGTCAACTTAGTGAACAATTAATTGAACAATTAATTGACAATAAAATTCTTGCCTGCATAAGCATGCTGTCACTTGGTCACTCTCTGCATAGCTCCCGAGGGGCAAAGCATGGCAAAGCATGGTGAGTCTGTGGCAAGTCTCAGGCTGACGGTCCGCCTCCGTGAGATGCTCTGCAGACAATTCCCTCGGAGCATGACCCGTGTAGAGCCACTCCTTAGCCCAGCGCAAAGGTCACAAAATGTCACAAGATGTCACAAGATGTCACAAGCATGATGTAAAATTCTGATCGATCTTCGTTGAATCATGTTGATCCCCATTCAGTAAATGCAGTAACATGAATACAAAATAATACAAATCATACAGTAAGTCATGGAGTAAGTGAGTAAGTCGTACATGATCTGAACATCTCAACGTGGCAATATGATTCAGCGAGTTCGTCGAGTCCTTAACAAGTCCTGCTGGGCTCTGTGACCAACATGGCGGAGAAGGCCACGTGGCTCCACTGTGGGATTTCGATCTCCGCCTCTCGGCTCTCGACAAAACGACCTCCGGCGAACATCGCCTCAGAAACAGTCGATACATTTCGATACACTCCTAACATCTCCTAACATCTCCTAACATCTCCTAACATCTCCTAACCGTTGCAACACTCGTGGCTCCACTGAGACGACGATATTATGAGATGTCAAAAAATATCATTTGATATATTCTGATATCGGTGTAAAACATGTCAAACAAATGTGAAGACATGTGAAGACAATGACGTGAAAGGATCGGTATTGGTAGTTCGGCCAACCAACAAACACTTGCAGGAGCATTGTTTGTTTTCTTCAAGTTGCAATTGGCCAACCCTGACGGATGTGGACTACAATCCTTCAAACGTACAGCATTGTACAACAGTCCACAAAGGAATGAAAGATTGTGATCAATGACAACCTGTAGCGCTTCCAGCGCGAGGTTGGATGGGTTTCCCACCATCATGTCCTTCCTTTGTTTTTTTTTGTGCTTCCAACCGTGGCTGCACCATTCCATTCTTCCCACATCTCTTAACCAAGTTCTCCAGCTGTTGCTTCACCCAGGTCACAGCTAAAGCTTTCCAATCCAAATGATCCAAATTTGTATGAGGTCCATCACTTGGATGAGGTCTTCCTACCTTTGACAGTGTGTTGTCCACCTTTAGTTCTTCTGGTGATTCCCTGCTCCTACATTTAAATATATGCCAGCAAGCAGCCCTGAAATGCTCACACTGGGCGACAAGGATGGCCTGCCATACCGTGCAGAAGCTGACCTTTTACAGAGACGGTATCACCACAAAATTACAGTAGATGTCTCGAGCAACGTCCGGCAAAAAAAACAAAACCATACACAACGTCCGTTCTTTCAAAAAAAAGAAGGAATGAGTTGCAGGAATCACCATGAAAACAAAATCTACAAAATCTACAAATAAAAATCATAAAAACAATCTTGGAATCCGCGCTGAAGATTTCTCTCCTACAGACCTCGGGCCTTGTGTGCGTAGATGCGTTTGCCCTCGACAACAAAAGTGATATCGCTGAACTCGCCACTTTTCAGAAGCCTGCACTGTGGGCACTGGCATCTCCCAGGTCTCCCACAAGATTTTTATCAATCCAGTCACTCAGTCTACTGACGGTGAGATTTGTTATGATTTGTTATCAGCACGGAATCGGGGTGGCTTTGTCAACGGTTTCGCCTGAATCACTGGATCCGTATATCAATGTATATTACATATATATATATACATATTATATATATTCAATTATATATTATGTTATAATTTATTTGTCTGTTCTGTTATGTTCTGTTGCACAATTCTGTACCGGTATTAGAATGTGGCCAGCTGCCCTGTCAAGTTGGACATCTCTCAGAAAGCGCAATTGTAGGACGATTTCCGGCCGTGCCTGCCCATGTTCTCGATGAGGGTGTGTACCGCAACATCGTTTAGGGCGCTCTCCTGTCGGAATCGGTCACTCACACTGTGGGACACACAGCACTTGAGCCTATCTCTGTTCGTCTCTGCTGGTTGCATCTGTTTGACAGATGTCACTGTAGCATGAAGAAACAAGCAACTTTACCAACTCACATTGGGAGTGTTGCTAAAATATGCTAAAGACACATTCGACTTGACAGTACTGACGGCAAAAACATGCAAAAACCGACGTCTGGCGCAATCATTTAGATCCAGAAAATCCACGAGCCTCGAGGCGGCCAACATCCAGCACGTGAAGGTCATTCAGCCATTTGTTCCCATCAAAGCCGCCAAAAATGTAGATTCTTTTTGAGCCTGGAGCAAAAATGACTCTAGGATACTTTAGGCCTATGAGGATGATTAAACTTTGATTAAACATGATTGGACTTCATTAAGTTGCTTGCTGAAGCTGCAAATGACAGGAAAGGATGGCTCAATGGTCACTTGGTCAGACACGTTTTATCTTTTTAGGGCGCTTGGAGCTTTGCTCGGTTGATCTCGATTGGATATTTGGTTCGGAATGGCTCACGCACCCTGCCTATGAGGGAGGCTGAATGTCGCTGTCGCCCAGGTGGCGTATGGGGCGATTCTGTGGGCCACGTCGGTCTGACCCATTTGGCCTGTTGAATGCACAATGTACCCTGCAAGCCACTCACATACACACGTGAGCCATATGAGATATGAGAATCAAAAAAACACACAAAGATAATCAAAGATACAGAAAGTAAACTCGGGTGTTTGGGGCAATCAAGGGGAACTATTACTTACTAGACATTAAAAATCAGTTCGAATCTGCAAATGAAGCGCATCCTGGGCGGAGCCTCTGCTGTATCGAGGATGTACAGCTCATTGGTGCGGCCCTTCCCATCATATCCACCGAAGAGGAAGATTTTGTGCCCTTGGAGTCCAGGATAGTCCAGGTCTTTGCTTTTCAAATCTTTTCAATGGACGCTGAATAACACTTAAATCATTTTAAATCACAGTGAAGATGAACCAAGTTCGCGGCCAATCAAATTGGCAGTGTGGCCACGCAGTCCTGCACACTGCTGCAGTATGCTATGTATGCTGCGGCTAAGACCTTTCCATCCGTTTGTGCATTTTTGTGCAAAGGTGCAATGTGTACCATTTTGCGAAAATATGATCGAGCATGTCGGTTTAAGATATGTCCGAACTTGGCTGTCCTGGTGGCGGTGTTCCCAGAATTTCAGGTTGTGACCAATGAAGCTTCTGAGTATCAAAAATGTGGAGATCCGTGAGATGCTTGTTGCCACTGTGACCACCTTGGCAAAGCCGATCTGCAAAGCTTGAAACAACAAGTTGTGTATATCTGTTGATATCTGTTGATATCTGTTGATATCTGTTGATATCTGTTGATATCTGTTGATATCTGTTGATATCTGTTGATATCTGTTGATGCTGTATTGTTCTGCATTCACCAGTTCACCAATAAATTTGTTAGCCTGATGGGTTCAACAAAGTAGCCAGCGGTCGAGCAGTTAAGAATTCACCATTCAGCATCTGAAACATGTATATATTGCCACGAGTTTCTGTCCTTGAAAAGAAGCAAACAAAATCTGAGTGCACCACCGAACAGATACAGCTTTGTGCTAATGACCTTGGCTTCAAGATGCTTGTAGGTAATATATATATATAATATATAGGGTACAAGTATAGTGGCCTTCCAAATGCCACGAGCTGATTTGGCAAAGCGTCAGTCTGCTGTGATGTCCAGCAGAGAAGTGCTGTACTCGCGATGAGCAAAACCATGGCTCTGACTCATCTGTTGCGAATCATGTGCAACATTTCAGAATCTCTCTGGCCAAGCAGCTGTCATGGTGTGAGCGTTCCTCGCTTGTGGCAAAGTACCAGAAAGATTTGGCTGCATCCACGTCATCGTTTCAAGATCGATGATGTCCATGTCCTTGGTCACAGGCCGAGTCACATGAAGACTGACTTAGAGTATCTTAGTGTGTCCAAATGTGCTCAATAGACCGGAAAGATTGTCCAGATTTGTCCAATTCACAGATTGAGAATTGGCCTCTTCCTTGATACTTGGCTGGCCATGTGAACACGGCAAATCTCCCGCGCATGGTTTTCCAAGACGGCGGAATGCTCCCCTCACTGCGTCCAAGGCGCATTGAAGCACTTGGCACCATCATAACCACCAAACATGTACCTCAGAAACCGTCCAGCTTGACTGGATCTATTTCAGATCGTGGACGTCGGTAAAGGCTAGGAGGCTAGGTATTATCTTTCTCATGTAGACAGGCAGTGAGTGAGGTCTTGCACTCCTATTGGAATCTTTTATAATCTTTTACTACGTCACGGATCGTCACGGTACTTATTTGAATTTTGTACAAGTGGGTTAAAAGTCTGTTTTTTGCTCTCTGAATGAATGGATTTGGACCCCTCTCTGTCTCTCTGGAAGCAGTGACAAGTTGATACTCAACCAGTGGTGGACAATTCAGCCGAGCGTTTCATTCCGAAAAGACCTTAGCTCGAGCCATCCCGAGCCATTTCTTGTATCTCAATTCTGCATCGTTCCGACGAGTTGCAACTTGTGTGCTAGGCGTGTCAGAGTGTGACAGGCACGCGCAGAAGGTGGAGTGCCAGAAGTTGGAGCCTCTCAGCAGGACTTAGACTTATTAGATCTTATTAGACTTTGTACAGTAAAGACTCAGCCAACTTGATCAATGGAGAGATCATCGTTGTGCCTTGTGCCAAACAAGGCCCTCATGGGGCGGTGTTGGCGCAGGAGGACTCGTCTCCTTGGTTCGAACGGCACTTCAGTCTGCTCCATGGATTGGCATGTTCTGTAATTAAAGATGTTCAAACAATTTCAAAGATATTCAAAGTACGCTGTGTTGGGCCTCCTCTGAGTAACTGCACTCACTAGTGTTTCTGTGCACCACAAGCTTTTGAGGATGGAATTCACGACAGGTTTGACAATTCACGAATTCTGTGTATCATTGTTTTTGCAATTCATTCCATCACATTCCGTCATGATGTGTTTTCATACTTTTCATGTCCACAATGTGGTTTTCGCTGCCTTTTTCATCCGGCCGATTCCAGGCTCTTCTTTGAGATCTTAGGTTTGGGATCCGTCAATAGTTTAAAAAAAGAAAGAAAGCTGTGTGCTGCTGCTAGCTTGCTGAGACTGCTGAGAGTCGAGAATGTGCATGTCGGCCACCCACTTGTTGCCATCATGGCCACCATGCACCACCAGCCGCGAATCAACCACCGCCTAGGATGAGGCTGCGTGATGCAAAATGAATTCATTGTCAATGAAGAAGAGCGGTGAGGGGACATAACAATTCTCGAAGCTCGTCTCAATCCCTGTGATTAGATCGTTGCAAGGCTTCGCAAGACCCCATGATACCTTATTGAAGGGTGCGTATCACAATGCAAATGCAATCTAATCGGATCACCCTTTCTTTGAGCTCATCAGAAAACTTCAAAAGGCCTGGAATCAAAATCAACCAGCAGCATCTGCATGTCCCAACAGCAGCATCAAAATTTGTTGTGGAAAGGCCAAGCAATCAGCTTTGCCACTCATGGCCAAGCGTGAGAGTTGAAAATCTTCACACTTTCACAGCTGCCTCTGACGCATGACACGCATGACATCAACACACTATGTGAAGATTCAGTCAGGCACCGTGGTGTGGTTGTTGCGAGCAGATGGAGCACTACCTGATGGTAACACCTGAGCAGAGCACTTGGATTCAGGGCCATTTGGATTCAAATGGTTCGGATTTGGTTCGGATGGACCAACAAGTTTCAAAGGAATGACGAACAAGAGCAGTTCCGATGCTCTCATGTGTTTGATTGCCTTTGATGCAAAACCTCTGAACGACTTCCTGTCGGACAGAATAAAGGCGTGGATTGGTAGGTGCAAAGTTGTATGTTTTTTCTCACTCGGCAGGGATGACATCTTATTAATATCTCAACTAACGTAAAGAATAATCTTGAATATGCATATATATATATATATATATTATTATATTATATATATATTGCGTATGGTTTGTTATGAAGTTATCTGGAATTGTGTTCGCTTCGACTTTCTCGTCGAAGGGCTGCACAAGCTAAAGCCCAGTGTGCCCACCTCCGACCAAGTGCCGGAGGCCACATCCAGCACGTGCAAATCGTTCAATGCTCTCTTGCCATTCCAGCCACCAAACAAGTAAAGGCCTGGATAGTTCAAAGGGCTCCACATTTGGTAATGAGCAAACAATCTCGCACTCATAAAGCATCATGAATCAAATATAATTAATCAAATTGACAATTTAGATTGATTTTAGAATGATTACTAAGATTGGTTTGAGGGCATAACTCCATTTACATTTCAACATCTAGCACTCCGCATGGTTGTGACATGTCAGACTTGGTTTCCATTGACTCCAGCTGAGATCTTCACGACCATCGATGATGTCACCTGGATTCACTCGTTGAGCAGGGAATTCGACATCTTGTGAATCTTGTGCTACTTGCCGAAATACACCAGGAAAATAAACCGAATGAACTCAGATAAAACTGATCAAAACTGGCAATACGTAGCCAGGGCACAAGAGTGAGCTGCCCGGGGTCCAGGGCAATTCTTGGTGTCAAGCTCTGACCTTCAGCAGTCTTCAGTGGCAACGCAGGCAATGCATTCTGATCAAATCACAATGTCATCTCTTTGATCAGTTGATCTCTTTAGCTTGGCACCCAAAAATTTATATGATTGCAAGGCGGGGCTCGTCAGAACAAAATAGTCCTGCAACATCCTGCAACCATATATGATCCCTTACTGTGATTGAAGTTCTTAGCTATTTTGGTTGTGAAATGTCGGACTTGTCCTTCCATTTGCCTCCATCAAATTCGTGATGCCTGCTGGTACATACAGCTTCAGGCTTCGAATTTCTAGAAACGAGAGAATTCATGCATTGCAGCTGACTATCCAGAATGAAATTGACATGCACAAAATTGACATGGAATGACATAGACACTGATGTCATGTGATATCGTATTGACATAGATTGCAATAGATTGCTATAGATTGTCTGCCCGGTTTATCTTGCAACTTTAGAGAAGCCATGCTGTGGGAGTAGTTTGAGACAGCCAAGCTCAGCGCCAAAAGGTGTACATCTGCGACGGGCGGGTGGCCTGGGATGCTTTGCGCTTCCAGGAGTATTCCATGACCAAAACATCAACGGTCCTCAACATCTTCAAGGCAACAAAATACAAACACATGATGAGGTTGGCAACGTCTCAGTCGCTCTTGTATCGTCCCAGCTTGTTCCACGTTTTCCCAGTTTGCTCTCTGCAAAATATAATTTCAAAACAATCAAAACAAATACTCTCTCCAAAAAGCGAGCGCCACACCAGCCGGGCGAACTGGCGGCCCAATCCCGTCCCGAACCCTTGATTGCGATGGCAAGCAGTGCGCAAGCGGTGCACAAGCATCGGCGCTGTGAGATTTTGAAATCATCGTAGGATTGCTAAACTAAGCCTCAGCAAATGTTATTGTGATGATCAAAAAAACAGTAGATTTCAAGCGTGAGCAATGCAGATGCATGTACTCTTGCCCTCTTGCAGGCAACCAGCAGCTTCTGCAAGAGTCACACGGCTGGCAACTACAAGAGTATCCAAAAGTCATGTTCAGCAAACGGCTCAATTGACTAAAGCAACGGAGGATTCGGAATATCTATGAGGGATCTATCAGAGGAATCTTGCAGAGACACTGCCATCCTTTTTCACCCCAGGCCATGTCGGTTGCGCATTCGCTCCCTGTCGGCGACCACATTTTTTGATGAATTTTGTGGTTGAAAGATGTTGAAAGTGTGGGGGATGGGATCAGTAGAACACCTGGTGAATACTGTTGACAAACATATTTTGGGGACGGGAAATGGCTGGAATCACATCATGCTGTGTGCACCTCTTTGGCCGGTACACAATTCTTCGCCTTTTAGCTGACCAAGTAGTCGGTTTCTTGAGATGCATCCACAGTACCTGCGCCAGACAAACAAACTCCATCAACATTTAAAACGGTTTATCTGGTGAGTTTGTAACATCTAACTTCATCATCGTCATTTAACATCTGAAAATATCTGAGATATGCAGAATCACCAGATTCACCCCATCACCTGGAGCGGGAGACTTTGGTGCTTCTTTGTGCCTGAGTTTACAAAGACTATGGCAATTAAACAGGAGATGGCCTGGTGAAACATTAGAAACAAAATTGAAACAAACAATCGTCTGCGTTGGCCATTGCATATATTTAAGCAATTGTTTGCGGTTTTACTATGTTTGTTTCTTGTTTCATCTAACATATCTAACGATAGAAGCAGCTCCACTAGCACGTCCAGCGTCTACTCAACCTGGACAACAGAGTTTCTGCCAAGCTCCAGACTTCTCTCCCTGGCTGTTGACACATCGAGCTTAAGGACTTCCAGATACTTCCAGTCTTGTATACGTGGAGCGAAGTGCGCAAACGAAGGTATCCCAAAAAGAAACGATTCCACTCACACTGAAATCCCAGCTCCTGATGCTCGTACTACGAAATAAACAAAATGAAAAAACACTTGATAATGCATGTCTCAAGTGGTTTTACATGGTCTGCTATTGTAATATATTGTAATCAAGAGTTGCCTTCTTGGTGCGCTTTGGCGGTGGTGGCCGCTCACATTCTGGCCTGAGCTATTCCCAGGACTGACAAAACGAAGTGAACGACTAGTGGCCCCCAGGAAATTTACTGAAAGAGGCACTGGTGTAACCCTGCACTTCGCGTGTAGATGTGTAGGAATGTAGTGTTTGCAAGGTAGCGTTGATGAGTCTCCAAAGTATGCAAGTATTATGCAACTTGTCACAGTGTTGAACTTCACGCCGACTGTTTGAAGCCATTTGAAGCTGCAGAAGTATTGAATCGTGTTCTCCGCACACAGTCGCACACGGGAAATATACACCTCTTTGAATGAACACGGCTGGAAATCCCTCGTCTTAGGTCTCCAGGCGCATCATAGAAGTCTGAGGGATGCTCCAAATGCTCAGGGTCAAATATCTCCTTTCTGAATCTTTCTGAAGTCTGCTGAAGTCTGTTAGATCAAAGATGTCGAAAAATGTTGAAAGGCATTGCAGCAATGCAATCCAAAGCCATCAGCATTGACGCTAATTCGTAGGTGCAGAATGCGCTCCAATGCGCTCCTTGGGGAAGTTCGATCTGTACTGCTTGAGGCCCATTTCCTGTCAGGGTAGCCGCATCCAAGATCTCTACAAGGTACAGTAATTGAGGTGTAATTTGCATGGAGCCTAAAGGATCCTAAAGGGGTAATTACTCAAAGCAGTTGAAGTCTTGAACCGCTTCATACCATACGTGACCAACGTCTGGTGTGGGTCTCAAGATTTCGACCCACTGTCATTGGAGAAGGCTCTTGAAGAAATGCTCAAGGATTCCATGCCTGAACGAGGCGTTCCAAGATGTACGGGTTCGACCAATCTCGTGACGCCTAAGGAAAAGGAGTTGTGGGACCTGTGGCATGCTGTGGGCATCTGCCCACTGGCAATGCTGAGCAAAGAGATTGAAAAGCTAGAAGCCGCACAGGGTTGCAGTGTTAGGGTACTGTTGCCATCTGTCCGTTTCTGTCCGGAGCAACTTCTTCCAAATGGAATGAGCATCACGTACGACATATGTGAATCAAATTGCCCATGCATACATGGATACACATCTTGGTACATCTGTGTATGAAAAAAAAACTAGATGAAATTGAAAAAAGGCATTGAAAAATGATGTGCCTTTGTATGTAATTATATGTAATTGTCGTCATTTAATCATCATACATATTAATTAATTATTCTTTATTCATCTTTATTCATCTTTCACTTGCGCCAGATTTATGTTGATCATTGTTGATCTCTCAGACCGTGGCAGGTGGTGGCCCCATGGTCGGTCTTCTAACCTCGTTGAGCGAAACGCAGCGACAGCACAAAGCGCTCTGCGGTGAGGCCAGGCCGGTGAGGCTCAGAACACGACCAAGTCAGATGCCGGAGGTGAGGCGCGTGAAGGAGGCTTCCTCTCCCTCTCCTGGCAATACACAGCGAAGGTATGCAAGGCATTGGTGAATGTTCATATGATAATGTGGCGGACAAAATTACTTACTGTACTACTCACTACTCGGAGACTACTCGTAAAGGACATGGCGTGGGTGGTCCCCTATCGGTTGTGAAGGTTTTCACACAAATTTGAATACTTTAGTCTTCCGCTAATTTTGTCGGTTACTCAAATGTTTGATCAAGGTTTATGTACAGCATATTCTTCACGATTCAAAACTTAATTGCATATCAATTCGATTCAGTAGAGTTGGACCAGTGAGGTCCATAAGCAATCAAATCAATCAAGTAGAAGCCACATCAGGGTGAATTTTCCAGGAAATAGATCCGGTGCTTTCATCCGAACCGGATGTCATAATCTGAAAAACGCCAGACCTCCGTTGGACATGTAAGATGATCAGAACGTGCTCTTTTCCTTTTTTCTTTGATCTTGAGTTCAAGATCTATACATTTCCGCTGTTTTTTGGCAGGACTGTTCCTTTTCTAGATGAAAAAGAAAACATAGAAGATGACAAAGGCACATAAAAACGAACAACAAGTACAGTACATGCGTTGTCATGATTTATATGACCTTTTTCATCTTTTTCCTAGAAATCCCCGACCGCTGCAGCGCCTCCGGCGGCGAACCGGATGGCGGAGAAGATGAGGGCGGCGATGCCTCCAATCTTGCCGAACGGTTCTGTCACTATATATAAATCTGTACGATCAAAACAGAATCAAATTGAACTTGAATGAGATACAATATCAATCAATATCAGATACAATAATGAGATGATGTCTCATATTACACGGTGTACTCAAAAATGTCCAGTTGATTCTGCACATTCCAACACCCGGGCAAACCTGACAGGGTCAGGATCAAATGGGGCCAAAGCAAGCCCTCCCTACAAGGCTACTGTCTGGAGAGTAGTGCAGGACTTGAGACATCCAAAAATATGATTATATAATATTATATATCTATGATTATCTTTAAAAAAAGGCAGGAAGCTTGAACTAAGGGACATTGAAGTGTTTCAATCGTCATTCCATTCTGCATCCTCTGCATCCTTGTTTTGGTAGGCATTCCTCTCACGCTAGAAGAAGCCATCTTGCATGTTGCTGTGCTGCTCCAATGAGAATTAACTGACAGTAAGCAGCTCATGGCGTGAGCGATTCATCAAGTTCATCCCTTCAAAGCACTTTGAACATGTCTGAATCCCGGCATCCTGCCTGCGGCACCTGCAAGCGATAAAGAGCTCTTGACTCGACATGTAGATGGACTTACAGCCGGGCTTGATACACTTTTTGTATCTTTTTGTGCTCGCAACTGCTTGTCACCCTAGCAGCCCTAGCAACTACACATTTCTCTTGCATTGAGCTCAGAATGTAACAGGGATAGGATGATTCTGCTGAGCCCAGAAAATTCAGCACCTCCTATCTAGACTATCTGCTATGGTCCAATGGTCCAACATTTAGAACAAAAGTGGGCTCATGTGCCATCTTATCCATCTTCAATCTTTGCAAACAAGTAGCAACCACCGTGGCAGCAGCTTTCTCGTGGCTACCATTGGTTGCAGCTTGTGCCTTGTCGAATCATGTCGAATCGCTCAAAGCTTGGGTGGATTGGTGTTGGAAATTTGATTCGAATCATCTTGGAGGCACTTCAAAGATCTTCAGAGTCCACAAGCACAAATAGCACAAGCTTTCAAAATATTTCAAAAGCACTGTTTGCTCAAAGTGACTCAAAGTCTGACTACGGTGAAGGTGCAACTCAACAAATAAGGTCGTTCCATCCAAATCATCCAAGCCTCTGGGGCATCATCGTCCGAGTCCTGATCAATAGATGGCATTAGAATCATCTGCATCTGCCATTCTGATCCATTCTGACTCTGTTCTCCAGCTTGAGATGTTCAAATGGCGTGTCTGAAAGTCATGAAAGAACATTGATCAAACATCATCAAACATGTTCAAACATCATCAGACCCTTTCTTCAACTGCCTCGTAGTTGACCAAGCCCAACATGGGAACAGCAAGGACTAGGCGAAGGTTCCTGTAGGACTACCCTTCTCCAGGACTTTTGACTGATCAGTTGAATCAGTTGGATTTTCTTAGAGGTCTATGATGGGTCTATGATGATTTATGGCATGGATGCTGGCTGGTCGTTTGCTCTCCTTCTTGGACTATTTAGAGTGATTACAAGAGAAGCAAATTCTGAGTGAAATCCTCAAAGTAGTCTTCGACTGCTGAGGCTGCAATATATCTATGAGATTCTATGAGTCTGTGAGCAATTCCAACAGATTACATTTCGAAATATTGTGAACGCGCGCAATGCCACTGTTGAGTGGACGGATCTACACAATGGTCTGAGTCAAGAGGATCAACATTTTGTTGATGCCTACGGCTTGGCAACATGGGCATGTGCACTGCATGTGCAGCCTATGCATATCTATGATCTATGATTTATCTATGCACTCTGGAGCAACAACGTAGCTGTGGCAATGTCATTGGCAACTCTCGACCCTTGCTTCACTTCAATCTCCATCAGATTTGTTTGGTCCGCCGTCAACCAAAATTGACTTGGACTCAACATGCAAATCCACATATTTTCTTCAATATGAAGTGCGAATGTCGGACTACAAACATCAATATATACTTGATTCATCGTTGGGACACGTTGGAACTCATCCTTCTTCAGTGTCACTTTGAACAGTTGAAAGTGGCCTTCCTTCCACACTGCATTTTTGTCCGCACGCAGCAGACTTTGTCGGGGTGAAACACTATTTTCAGGTAAATGACCAAGATCTAAGGAGCATCTATTCACATCATTGTACACTACATTCATTGGATGCCTTGTGGGCAAGAAGTTTCAATGCTCATCAAGCAGCTTCTTCCAATTCCAAGATCAAGTGTACTTCAGCTCCGCCATGATTTTGCCTCTCAGTCTAGGGCTCCCGTTGTGGTCCCTTACTTAGCAAGCACAACTTTAGTGACAGACTCTATGTTGAGGCAAACTATCAATATTCTTACCATCCTAGGATGCGACTGTGCATTCTGCAATTCATATTCTTCGCTGTGAGATCTGCCTCACTAAAATCGGTTCGAGTCTGTGAGAACACTTTATGCATCCTGTCCCTCAGACAAGGCCTTTATGCTTTGACGTCTTCAGCCTGCTTGACCTTGTAGATGCAAAGAATGAAGGCACGACGTCCTTCTAGCTGAAAACTGAGGAAACCCAGAATGAAATTAAGATTGTTGATTCGACCTGTTTGAGAACACCAAGGCTTCCCTTCCAACACAATAGTCACATCAGGGAATTTTAAGATTTAGATGATACTCTTTCAGAGGTCGATATCTTTAAATTCTCTTCTCCAACAATTTGAGTCTGAGTACCAACGACAGACTCCAGTGCTCGAAGGTGCTGCTCATTGTCCTGTGGCAGGCAAGAAAAAATGTTGGGCAACGGCAACGTCGACATGTTGAACAAGAAATGCCTGAATACCAAATCCTGGATATTTTTTGCAAATTTTGCCTCGCCAAATGTTTGGCTGAGCAATTGTAGACTCTTGTTCTTGAGGTATGCGCAAGACAACACTAGACTAAAATGGCCAAAGGATAGTAATACAAAGTAATACATACTAGAACATTACAAGCAGATTGAACTTCTGTAGCAATTTAGATTCAATCTGTAGCAGAATGTGCTGCACAGCTCGTCCTCCAGTTGCTCTTTTGGGGACAAGCTAGCATCCCCTGCACAGTCATAGTCGGACATTGGACACATTCTCGTTCCACCAAAATGACCCAAAAAAACAGCTCAAAGACAGAGCTTGATCATCCAAAATTTCACTGGGCATGGGTTGGGTGAGGGCAACGTACATGCCCTTGTGCGTGCCTGTCGTGCCTGCAGTCTGATTGGCCTTGTCACGGCTTTTGGTGACATCAAGTCAAGATGAATTCTTGCGCAGTGTAATCCATTGTGGTCCGCAAGTCTTTGCAGTACCTCTATCTTTCTCTGTGCATGTGCATTTCATATAATTAGTCACACTATATAATATCTATATCAAACTGACATGCCGCAGAGCAAATCAAGAAGGAGCCACTATAGGCCTTTGTACAGCTGCAAGATTACCAAGTTAAAACCCATACTTTGCCACTTTCGTCATGCGCTGGAGACATCTCCAATTTTGGTCAAAGCTAAGGATGGCGCAGCACCTGCAGCAGCTGCTTCCTGAGGGCACGGCCGGACCATCGCTGCTTTGTTGCTTTGTTGCTGCCATCGATTCACGTGGCAATTAAAGTCTTTTTCAATTCCCTGGTGCAGTCCTCCTCGGACAAAGACTTCTTGATGGAGTACAGGGTCAGCTGAACACCTGCATGGAGCACTGCATGGAGCGCACGGTGAATCTTCTCAAAAATGATTCTTGGTTCTGCGCATTATTTTGAAAAAAAAATGTGCGTTGCGTCCAAATCATGCTTCCATTGCCGGATGATGTCAAACCAATTCGGACGTGTGATATGAACGCACTCATTGAAGGTGATTTCAGTCATGTGCTCATGTTCAATTGTTCTGATTACTCTGTTCTAATGTGTTCTATACCTGATCATGTTCTTGAACAGTTTATTCTCGGGATTTTCCTAGGATTTTTGTTAGGTGTTCCAACTATCTTTCATGTATGTTCCACGTATGTTCCCCCGGATTCTTTCCGAACGCACCTTGCGATTTGTTCCTCAGCTCGGCAGCGATCTGGGCCGCAAGCTTCACCTCCTGGAACCAGCATCGTATTTGATCGTAACACCTGAAGAACATTGAAACATATTGAACAATATTGAACAATATTGAAACTATGGTATGAACTGTATGAACATGAGATTTTTCCGGACAGTACCATATGATGCTCTCTGGCAAACGGGCTGGTTGTAGTTCTGAAGGTGATGCAAAGAGTACTGGAGAATACTGGGGGCTCTTTGATGCTCAAAGGGGCTTCCCCATGTGAAGCCCAATGAACGTTGGGAGTCCATTCAAAGTTATTCAAGTTCCTTTCAAGTTCCTTTCAAGTTCCTTAACCCCAGCCGTAGATGCCATAGCTATGCCATAGCAGCATATAGCAGCCATAGCCCCCGCGAGTTCGTCCTCTTCAGCTCCATGCACTTCCAGCTGCGTTTCGGTGAAGTTGCTACGAGAGTCTTCGACCGTTTCGAAGTCACGTGCCAAGCGACCTCACATCAACTCCCGTCAGTGACTGTTGATGACTGTTGACATCTGTTGACATATCATTCATTGCTCCTCACAGGCCTGGGATGCGACAGAGTGTCAAACAGGCAAACACATAATCGTTGACTAGAATCCTGCTTCTCAAACATTGTGTCCATGACATTGTTTTGTGATATAGGGTAGTAAAGAATGATTTTCATCCACAAAGCTTGCGCAAAACTAGCGGTAGCTAGTGCAGCAGGACCAGACTATCCCAACATATCCCAATGATGATGTCGTTGATTTGGCTTTGTCCAGGTCAAGTGCATCCCACCAACCAGCTGACCACACGGTTATGTTCTATATATAATTACGTATGTATTATATATATACATACATACATATGTATACATATATGTGTTCTGTGTTCTATATATTCTATATATGTTCTATCGTTTGACAAGCGGCCCATTGCAGTGGCGAGCCGTTCGGAGGCTTCCTGGTTGCTGGCATTGCCTGAGCTTCAGGCAGCTACAAACCAGGGAAGTGCGGCAGAAATAACATATATATATAATTATATATACATGATTATACATGAATAACATGAAATTGAAATAACATGAAATAACGAGCCAAAACAGTCCCTGCCCATGTGCGAGTCCTACGAACGTCAAACCTCGCTGCCTTGGACCGTCCTCCAACTTTGAGTCTCTTACAAACAGTTTGACTTCTGCTAAGCTGCTAAGCAATTCAAACGTGAAGCAATCATGGAAAAAATTGGAAAGAAAGATTGAAAAGTACGGGACATCCAAGATATTCCAAGATCATCCAAGTCGCTTTGTGCCTTTGCCTCCACCGCCTTTCGATGTGCTGTATCCTGAGCACGTGCCACTGCAACTCACCTGGGACCTCTACAGTACGTATGCACAAAAATCTGCGCGAAAATCTGCGCGAATGGCGAAGCGTCATGATTTGGTTTCGTGTGGTTCCACCAGTTCTCGCTCTACTCTCACAGCTCTGGTAGTTTTCCACAACTCGACTTGATGATCCTGATGAAACATAGTAATTCTGTTACCGGCTGAGTACTGCACCCAGGCAGACTGTGCTTCTTTTAGCTTGAGTTCTGCCTCATAAGAGCTGATTGGCATGTACTCACCAGAAAGGAGTCAACTGAATGGGCCAGAGCTGGAACGAGTTTTCTCGACTTGGTGCAGCCAAGTGCAGGTTGAATCAAGTTGAACTAGAACATGAATGTAACATCTATACAGAACTCTCAGTCAGCTGGGACGAGGCCAATTGCTCACAAATTTATTCTACAAGTCAAAGCTTCATCTTTAGGAAATGATACGAAAAACAAGTTCGCTAAAATTGTTTAAACTGCTCAAATGAGTCTAAATGGATTTAGAATAATACAGTAATATATTATATATCTTGTATAATATATCATCGAAGGAAGTTTAGAAGCCAAACTTCCGACAATATTGATAGATGAAAAGCAGAGATGGGAAGAGTCAGAGAAGAGAAGAGAAGAGAAGAGCAGAGCAGAGCAGAGCAGAAGAAAGAAGAAAGAAGAAAGAAGAAAGAAGAAAGAAGATCAAAAAAGAGAAAATCTCAGAAGAAAGAAGATCAAAAAAGAGAAAGTCTCAGAAGAAAGAAGATGAAGGTGCGAAAAGGTAGGACGGTCGCGACACACTGTGTTTTTCCAACGATTTGTGGCTCCGGAGGGTCTCGCTAAAGCGGCGGGGGCGGAGCCATGTGGTCAGATGAGAGATGAAAAGTAGCACGCCGTTGTGGCGCGAAGCACATTTCCAAGTGAAAATGTACAAAGCACATC